TCAACATATGTGTATATCAGTAAAAAAAAAAAAAGGGCAACGACTTACATAGACTTCACATCTTTCATCTTCTTAATAAGAGAGTCTCTCTTTTCCTTTGCTTTCTTGGATAGATTTTCCCCTTTCAGTATGTCTGCTACAAATGTTTCAACATCTAAACCGCAAAATACAAAAAGAGGACACAAATTATAGGAAAGAAAATTTTTCCTGAAGACAAATGAAACAATGATTATTTCTACACCTAAGTGTTGATATCTGTTCAATTTGTTGTAAATTCTTATCAATCCAAAGCATTACAGTTGAAGTATGTTTTGAATACTAAGTTGGACAAATCTGTTCTCCATGTAACTAATAACATTTGTATGCTGTGCTTATGCTTAGCACAGCAAATGCTATTTGGATGTTTGGCATCATTAAACCAGGAAGAAGCATCCAAGTTTTAATAAACTATGGTGCCCCATAAAACAAATTCTCTCACATAAAAGCAAGCAGCAAGCTTTTCTGCACATGTACAGTATTCTGTAAGCTCCTACGCCAATAAGTCATTCACAGTATTTTATGAAGATAAGCTAAGATCTCTGGAAAGAGTCTGTTTTTTCTCAGTGAAATCCATTTTCAGTAATACATAATATTTAATGCTTAAAGGGAAAAACAAATTTGTTTTTTTCTACTTAAGATTCTCAAATCATACCCTTCTCCTTGCTGCCTGCCCCACCCACACTAGCCACCCTCAATTCAAAAAGATAACCAGTTGTGTGGTTGTGAGCTTTTGCTTTGTGCCCTACTATTAGCTTCCTGTAACACTGTTTAAATAAAAAAGTGGAAAATAGGTTCTTCTAATATTTAAAAATATATACCTAAGAAATGAGATTTCTATGGGCTCATGTAACATTCCTCATGATGTCATCCAAAATTGTAAGAAAGTCCTAAATTATTCTGTTGTCTGATTCTCATATAAAATACCAAGAATTCATTGCTGGTTTGATTTTTAGAAGTCCATTCTTATTGTTCATGAAATATGTAGAGCTTACATATATCTTATTTTCAGAATTTCAAAGCTCATTTTGAAATACCTGTTAGAGGGTTACATTAAGATTTTTAAGTAGGTAAAACTACCAATCATCCACATTTCATATAGAAAAGATGTGTTTTACTTCCTTTTTATTGAACTATTTTGTCTCCTAACTTATACTGGGAAAAGAATGATCAAAACATAGTATTACATGTAATTAATAAAACATAGTGTAATAATCGCTCAACTACATTTATAATTAACCATTTAAAACCTTATAGGATACAATGTAATCGACTTTAAATTCTTGATTACAAAAAGTATTTTAACCAATGAGGAACATGGATTAAACTGTTCCTATATTTATAATAAATGCATAAGGTAATTTTTGCCAAGCCAATACCGGGAAAAATAAAATTAAAACATGAAACATTTTTTAATAGCTTCTAGTTTGAAGCCCATTAACAACAAATACATTTTTTAAAGTAAGTATGAAAATGAAATGAAAGCAAAATGCCCTGTCTCCTCTTTCCTTGAGTTGCCTAAAACTGATCAGGGGAGAGGCCATCTCTGGAGATCCAGGGGCACAAACCACAGGCTTCTCAAATAAGTTCAAAACAATAAAGCCTGAAGAGGCAGCTTGTACCCTGAGAAGCAGCCACCTTTGAACGGTCACACATTGGTTGAAAGAGAAAAGACCATTAGCTTCCTTAAGATCCACTCTTCCAAACCGGTGGACTAAGGCGAAGCTGGCTACTACCACTGGCTGGTTCCTCCCAAATCCACCCACCACCTGGGAGACAACAGTCTGCTTGATGTTATTTTCACCCAATGTTTGTCTTTAATTCCCTCTTCAACGGAGTATTTAATTGCCTATTTTACATTTTCATTATGCAATGCCAGCTTAAATAAACAGGATCTATTTTCTATCTCAGGAAGCACTAACAGAACGAAATTACAGCCCAAGAATTATTTCTTTAAAAGGTCATTTCGGTTTTATAAAAAACTCGGGGATGGGGGTTTGCATGCTCTACACTATATTTCCTAAAAGCCTTCCCAAAATGTTTTGAAAATACTAACGAAGCCTCTATTTTGAGAAAGCATTTGTAGAGCTGCAAGAAGAATCGGTATTTCTCGAGGGGAAGGACTGGGTAAGGAAAACATCTGCACTTTTAGAGTAGTCTTTTATATTTATATTTATATTTATTCCCTAGCTTTCCCCAGAAAAGGACTTAAAGGCAATTAGAAGGATTTATCACACATTGACTTTTTAAATAATTACTTCTCAAAGGAGATGCAGAGAAGTGCGTGCTTTGCTGGTGGTGTTTTTTAACAAGAACTTTAGCTGGAAGTAGATACCCTTGTTTGCTGGTTGTCCCCAGACTTGGTTGGTATTTAAGCTTTTGAAGTCCGGGGCGCTTCTAAATCTTACTACGCAGTGGAACCGCCAGCCTCTATAGCACAGGAGGGTCCCAGGACCCAGGACTGAGAAGCGCCACACTCCGCGCCACACTCGGACCAGGCTCCCTAGCTCGGAAACAAGGACACAGCTCTCCTGGGGTGCCCCAGCATTGCCCCCAGAAACCCAGCCAAATTCAGCTGGAATTAAACCCCGGGATTCCTGTCCACGAAGCTGAGAGCAGAGAACTGGGCTTGGGGCAGCCCTGGCCAGACAAATGAGACTGGATCTGCGGCTTTGTACCTCAAAGCCAGAGTAATATTTCAAAAGCAAGCAATAAAAGTCTTGGGTAAATCAAGTGCTCCTCTGGCTGGTTGGAAGAGATTTGAAGCTTTTTATTGTGCTCTAAATAGCCCTGCAAATGGTGAAGTAGCCAGCTCAGTAAGCAAGCAAACTGCCTCCGCCCTCTTTTACCTTCCTTTAGGGGTCGTGTCCCTCTGTTTATATGTAGATTTCACTGACTCCTTTCCGCTTGCGATTCGGAAAACTAGTAATCTGACTACCAGGAAAGGTCAGCCTGCACTGGCTGCCCCTGGCCTGGTAAATTAGAGTCCTTCTGTCTCCAAGGGAGGGGTTCCATCTCATCAGAGGGTACTGATGTGGGAAAAGCAAGTATATTGGTGGGGGGGGGCATGTGGCTCTTGCTGAGAAGGCGTGGGACAGGGGGTGCCACCTATGCACAGCTCCAACTGTCCTGATCTACTCCTACCCTGCTCCAGCCTTAAGGACTAGTCAGTACTGCCTGAATTTAACTTCAAGAATCACTTGCACCCCCATACCTCCACAGGCCTCCACTTCCAAGTTATCATTACGATAAAGTTACCCCAGCAAAACTAAACTGTGCTTGACACCTTAACATTGTCAAGAGTTAAGTTAGGCACAGCTGTGAAGCTCTGGGGGCTAAGGCAGCTGAAAAGATCATATTCACAACTGCTTTGTAGATAAATGTTAGGGTCTAAAAACAAAATTTAAAAATGACATGCTCTGGCTCAACAATCCTTAAGCAGTTAAGTAAGAAGTCTCTCAATGAATGTCTGACCCATAAGAGGCAAACACTTACCACCCCCCCATTCACTGAAGGGTGCTTCCATTTTCCTTTTCCTTTGTACATACAGACCCAGAGAAAAACTGCCACCCTATTTTCCTCAATAGTGAGCAGGATAGGTCTCTCTCTCTCTCTCTCTCTCTCTCTCTCTCTCTCTCTCTCTCTGATGAATCCACCACCATTTGCTAGGTCCTAGATCAATAATATAACTAAAAACGAATCACATAGCACCCCAAATGGCTTTACTACTTAATTCCACGTCTTTCTACTTTATGAAGTGAGCCAGATTCATTTTGTATTCATTGAGATACGCTGTCACCAAACTTAATGTGTTAAGGATCCTAGCCTAGACTTCAAGCAGCCATCAGAATAAAATCACACTTTCTCTTCTGTTAAAATGGGGAATGGTGTGACAAAACAGCTACTGGTGAAAATATAAAAATCAATTAAACTTGGCACATGCAGATCAATGGAGCCAAATGCCCAAAGTTGGAAAATGGCTAATTGAAAAGTTATTGATTGTTCTAATCAATGCCTTCCCCAGATTACCTGCACTTTCATAGATTATGGTTGAGCTAAGGACTTCTCAAACATGGAAAAAGAAAACAGAGCAAACAGTTCCCAGAGTGCAATGGGTAAAACCTATATAGATCTTATAATCCAATCAGCCTATGAAATTTTCAAAACTGGCTTTACAAGCTAAATGGTTTATTTTGATGAAAAGTTGAGCTGCTGAAAGACAAGGCTGGCCATCTTTCAACTCTAAAAGAGGTATCTAATCAAAATCTTTTTACCACATTTTCAAAGAAGCCACAGTGAGTAGCACGTTAGTCTGAGATTCACCACTGCTGGGTAGCATCTATTGTAACGTGTTCAGAATGTGATTGAAAAAGAAACGTAAAGTCAGTGGAATGAAAAGATAGAGTTGGCTTTAATTGAAAAAGACAAACTAAATTAATAATGAGCGCGTAAACCTAGCCTATGCCACTTTTATCACCCATATATGACACTTAATCTTAAATTTATGGTTAACTGAACTGCATGTCAAATCACCAGGGCTTTTCCTCCTGCATTCTTTCTGCCTTCTTCCTAGCAATACTTTAAAGCTAATAGCAGCAGAGAGAAACCCACTTGGAAGTTTTACATGTACTGCTCATCTTTTAGTACATTTAGATTTTGAAAGAAACTAAATGTTTGAAACATTTAGATGAGTTGAAAGAAATCATTAAGATTGGGGTAACTATAAAAACTATGCATAGCATCAAGAGCCTTGCTTAGTAATCTGAGATCAAAATACTTTCAAGGGAAAGTCCTAACAAAATACCCCCTACCAAGGAAAAAAGAGGACAATTTACTCTTAAGATAAATAGATATATAATTGTCCTATCACTAAATCTTAATTTACTGACAGTATTTGACCCAGAAAAAAAACTCCATAAACATCAGGTCCTTTGATGTGTAAACTCGTATCTCTATTTGCAGAAGAAAAGTATCTTAGCGATATCATACACTGACTTCATTTTCAGATGAAATGTTCTCTTATCAATTTTATGCTCATTCATTACTGCTGCCTAAATGGGGCAGGCTTGTCCTTGCTCTCCCGGAAAATCCAGGTGCTAAGAAGTAGGTGACTACTGGTGACTCAGTAGGTGGCACTCTTCCCTTTACATACTCAGCCAAAGCCCCAGAAGGAAATTAGGGAACACTAGATATACCATAATTCTCATAGGAAAAATAAAACCAAAATGTTGACTAAATTATAAATAGGTCTTTGGGAAGGTGGAAAATCAACCCATACTACACTTGGCATTGAAAAAAAAATTCTACCACTGTTTCTACTGAATTGCATTCTTTATCAAGTGTCCCCCAAAGGGATTATCGATTACATTGTGTAAAGGTTTAAAAAAATGTTCGGGGGTGGGGGAGCAAAAAAAAATGTTCTGGAAATCCCCAATGGGGGAAAATGCAGTACTTCTAATCAACACTGTCACCTGAACAAAATCTCAAGGCTGCTCTGCTGAAACCATATACTACTTTGTTACGGTTTGTTTGGTTTAGTTTTCATTTTTCAGTGCCCTGGTAACTATTTTCTTCTAAACTAGTTTCATTTTCTAATTTGGTAAAAAAGTAACATACTCTTACAACTTTCCTTTTAAAATGTCATAAAATGAATGAGAATGAGTTAGAATGTCTTACTGCAAACCACTCACAAGCAGTATTTAAAGGGAATTAAACAGATGCAAGCAGGGCAGCAGGCGGCACCTCTAGCGCCTCTCACTTTCTTGTCTGCCAGAGGGAAAGAATCACATAAATCAAGATTATTCTTGCTATTAGTCCTAGTCAAAATATTTGGGTGTGCGAGAAGATTAAATGGCCAAGACCTGGGGTTGTCCTTTGGGTTTAATTATTCAGGCTTAAAAAAAAAAAAAATCAAAGGTTGACTCAACAAAATTTTATATAAACTGCTCTGTTTATGTAACCAAAACAATAATTTAACATTTCTTAGTTTAAAAGTATAGGCCTTCAAATTTTAATATAATGATGCCAGAGGAAATATAACTGTTCAAATTATATTGCCAGTATTTCAGGGATATTAACTGTGAGTAAAGAATGGCCATTCTTTTGACATTTTTGTACACTGTTATCAAAGGAGAAGGAATTAGGAGGGGACAAATATTGAAAGGGAAACTGAAAACTACTATGATCAGAAAGCAAAACAAAGGGGAAAAAAACGATTACAAAAAACACACTTGAGTACCTATCCCCATCAACCAAATACGTAGCATGTGCGACACGTGGGTTTAGATACTGGGCACAAGGAACACAAAGGGAAATGTCTATGCATCATTACTTTGAAAGTCATTAACTTTTGACTTCATATTCTTTCTTCTGAAAGCAAAGGACTTTAAACTCCTGAAGGGGTTGGTTCCTTGCCTAATGTGCTGTGTGCCATGCATTTCAAGAGCACTTAACAGATTACAATCACCAGAACCAATATCAGTGTCTCATTCTCAGTTTAAAAATCATAATAAATGTACTAGATAAGCCAGCAATATCTCTAAAATGCCAATCAATGCAAATCCTTCCTATAATTTTAGAATTCTAAATACAATCGTGTACTACCACCCAAAACACTTAAATTATGGAATTGTCCTGCATCTCAGTTACATTTGAGGATGAAGTAACTGCTTCAAGCATCAGATTTAATCAAATATAAAATCTTAACAACTTTCCTTGAATACCTAAAAGTTGTTTTAAACAATGAAAAACACTAACCTACTTGCCTAATTCCTTTAAATATGTAATCCATCCCCAACTCATATCCATGAGTTAAAAATATTTTCTGAAAATAAAATATAACAAATTTGTCATCTGCTAACATTTAATGCTTTAATCCCTCATGTGTTTTATACAAAACTCATTTCAAACATTATGCTACTACAACATCTGACTTAAGAGAAATGCCAGAAATATTTATAAAGTTAGCATTTTTGATTAAATTACACAAGGGTCACAGAAAATATTTGTAATCTATGGGGATCAGGAATACTGAATCTCATAATCTATACATCATACTATTGTCTCAATGTATTATTATGAATCCACATGACAACCTAAGAGAGTTGTCAAGCTTTAAAAACATGCAAACAGAGGTCTGTACTTTGTTTTTTTTTTTTAAAAAAAGTGACATTCCTGGAATAAAAATAAACACTGCTCTGATCTGGTTATTAAAACATTCTAAACAAGTTCCTAGTTACTGAAACAATAAAAATGTTAAGTGTAGTGAAACAAAACTAGTGCTCCTATAAGCTCTCATGTAATGGAATACAAGCTTCCTTAAATCAGCTTGTACAGTTCGTTCATTATATCTCTTAGTGGTACCCACTAATGACAAGGAGCATTTCTTAGCATAAAATGGGCCCCCACTGCAAAGCATTCATACAAACCTAAGTCTGCACTCATACATTTAGTTTCATTTTTTCCATTATATTCATGATGAAAACAACTAACAGTTGAACAGTGTACCAGGACACTGTTACAAAAGTAATTTACTACTTCAAATGTCACATTTTGGATGACATTGTTTTTTTAACAGTTAAAATACACCATTTATAACATGCATCTAAGATACATTTTTTTTTAATTCAGTGATCCACGATCAGTATTCACAGAAATATTTTAGAGACAGGTAGAGTAAAATAATTCCATTTCCAGAATTCCAACATCTACCAGATAGTCTATGATGGTTTCCAGAACATCAGGTTAGGCAAGATCTGTGCTTCTCTAAAACGATGTTTTGTGGGGTTTTTTTTTTTTTTCTTTTTTACCTTGTGCAAAACTATAAGAGCCTTCCTTTGACCCTCAGCGAAAATATACACTTCCATACATCTCTGACCTAACAGCGGATTCATGACATTGCAGAACCGTATTTTACTTCCTAAAAGTTCCTGTAAATAAGACTGTAAAACTGAAAAGAGGAAGATGAGGGTGGAGATGAAGTTCTTATCATGTAACACGGGAAATAGAATTCTTAACACATCCTTTTTGCTTTAATAGCTACTGAGGATGAAGACAAGTGGACACTTGAGAACCGGGCCTTCTTCAAAAGTATTAAACGCGAGTGGCCTGACCAAGAAAAATGGAAGTTTTAGAAAAGACACACTTTTCCACCTCCTAACACCTGTGGCTCTGACCTCTTTGCTAACGTGTCCACTGGCCGGGTCGCCCAAGCACTACTACTTAAACTTCTACCCTCGCAGACCTCACCCTGGCATTCATGGGCATTCGCCCTCCCTCCCCACTCCTTGCAAGCGGTATCTTCGGAAAGCTCGGAACCGCCCGGGTCCCCAGTGAGGAACAACAGCACATTTCAACACACACGCCCACTCCTCCTCCGGCACCCCAGCCCTCCTCCCCAGTCCCGCCCCCACAGTCAGACCAGGTGGGGGCCGGGAGAAGGCGAGGGCCCGAGCGCTTCTGTCCCCGCCGGCTCGCCGTCCCCTCGCCCCCGCCCCCAGTGTCACCGCCCCCTTGCCGCTCTTTACCTGCCAACAGGTTCCTAATTTCCTCAGGGAGGGGGCAGGGGCCGGAGGTGCTGCTGGGGTTGGGCATGGTGGGCACCGACCGTTTGGGTTATGGCACAGACCGACACTCGGCTAGCGGGACGGGCGAGAACTGCGGGGACTCAACAAGGAAGTCACAGGCTCTCCAGCCAGCAGCCGCTGGACTCCAGGCCCAGCCCCGCCCGGAAGAACTGGGCGGGCGAAGAGGCGGGGCGAAGACCCGGGGAGCCCTACTGCGCGTGTGTGCGTATCCCTTGCTTCTCAGTCTCCAGAGAAAGCTGCAAGGGAAGGCCACGCCCACTTTGCCAAGGGGCGCAGAATGAGGAGCCGCATCACCTGACCCAGCCCTGAAGCGCGTCGTCGCCATTTTTGGTACTGGTACGATAGCCACTGCTCACCATTTCTCCAGGATTCGGGAAAATAACGTGAGCTCAGTGCCTACAAGCTTTCCGGCTAAGGGGTCTTCTGACTAATGGTCATTTCCTTCGAGGTTTAAGCATCTCGTGTGGTAACGCAACAGGAAGTTTCGTACTCCCTAAACTGTCATGGCCTTTGTCCGACTGAATGAAGGTAGCAAAGTGCTAGCTTCCGCCAGTCCTCTCCAAACTCCCAGTCTGGAGCTGCTCAGGGGAAGCATTCTGATTGGCTCCTACTTTATCGTTCTACTTCATTTGTATTTTGGGGGTGATTGATTTCCTTCTACGTCGGAAGAATAAGGAGTTCCAGGCATTATCCTGGGAGTGGAAAGCTAAGTAGGTACTACTGTACTATCCACCTGAACCGCTGTCCACCTATAAGCATTTTCTAATTGTTGATTGCAAGAATAAAAATATAAAATCTGTTTTCTTCAGCTTAGTCAGCAAATACTGAATCCTCTTTATATCTTAAACGTTTACTCTAAAACCCCCAAAAACCTAGTTCTGGCTCCTTTAAAGTCGTTAAAGTATGGGGTCGGGGGTGAGTAAAGAATAGACAGACGCACGCCTTTTATCCCAGCACTTGAGAGGCAGAGGCAGGCGGATCTTTGTCAGTTCAAGGCCAGCCTGGTCTACATAGTGAGTTCCAGGACTGCTGCGGCTACAAGGAGACCCTGTCTTGAAAAGACAAAAACAAAACAAAACGAAACAAACAAACAAACAAAAAAAACCAGACAGACAGATAATTACATTCAACATTAATCCTTACAAGCACTTAAAACCCATATTTGTCATCAAAGAAAATGAAGATACCAGAGCCACTGAAGACTCCAGTCTTCAGATAGGAACTGCCAGGGCAAAACAATTACTGAGTGTACACTGTGTAAAAATATACTTGGAAACAGGGGTCACTGAAATGGCCCAAGCTGCACTCTTCTTTCCTTGTCCAGGCATTTTTTCAAAATGACACGTGATTGTCATCTTGCCTACGTTTCTCTTGGTAGAGATAGTGGCTAGCATCTGTTACTTCTTCTGGTGCTCCGAACATTGTGTTTTTCCAATACCCTCCAACCTTCGTTAGACCCATGCCCCTTACACTTTAGTTTGCATTAGAAGTACAAAGACAAGCCTGTAGAATCTAGGGTTCTTTCTACCCCCAGAGATTCTGATTCAGTCTAAAACAGCCTCTAATAGGTGAATCCAAGCTGTGCAGAGATTTGATTTTGAGATTCACTTTACTACTATTTCCCAGGTCCCAAAGAGCACACATTTGTAATAAGAATCTTCCCCAGCTGGAACCCTAAACCTAACTTAGAATAATGACTCCATTAATATTTTATCAGAAAAATTTCAGGGTCGGGAATAGCTCAGAGTATGTGCTTGGCATGTACAATTCTCAGCACCAAATAGAAAATGCCTGTATTTTCCAGATAATACTAGTAAAAATGACAAATAAAATATGGTATGATATATTCATGTAATTCAAGAGACAATACCAAACACTAATTGGAAAAGAAAAATTAGAACATTTAGGTATCCATGTCTTTAAAAAAAACAAACAAAAACTTAAAAATTGAAGTAAAACATACAAAATAATACTCCAAAAAAGACACCTTTAAAACAAACCCATTTCACTGGGCATGGTGGTGCTTGCCTTTAATCCCGGCACTCTGGAAGTAGAGGTAGGCAGATCTCTATGAGTTCAAGGCCAGCCTGGTCTACATAGTGAGTTCCAGACCAGCCAGGGTTACAGGGAGACCCTGTCTCAAAAAGACAAAAAAAAAAATTCACCAAAATGAAATTCAAAATTCCTACCCAGATTTAGAAATGTGGTAAGTTACAGGAAGAGTGCTGAAAATTATAATTCTCTTTTATGGAGTAAAAAGTGAATAAAGGGGGGCTGGAGAGATGGCTCAAAAGCACTGGCTGCTCTTGCAGAGGACCAGGGTTTGATCCCTGACTTCCACATAGTGGCTAACAGTCGTCCATAGTTCCAGTTCCAGGGGATCTGACTCCCTCTTCTGACCTCCACAGGCATTGCATGACACTAGTACACTTAACACATGCAGGCAATACACTCATATACACAAAAATAATAAATTATTTTTTAAAAGTGGATAAAGAGTGATTCTTCTGACTTCAAAGAATTAAGAATAGTTATTCTTAAATTACAAAATCATCTACTTTCCTAAACAAAGAAGAAATTATTTCATGGACATTTTATGTTAGGGAAGATCATTCCTCCCTTTACAGTTATATACAGTTATAAATCCTTTGTCTTGTCACACTTTTTTATTAAGGACCTCTAAATGTCCCTTTGTTTCCTTCAGATAGAACTAACCATATTTTTTTCTCTCATTTATTTATTTATACTCCACTCATTCTACAAAGAATTGAGGTGATTTACTCTTGTATCAAATAGCTTTCTAGAGTGGATCAAATGGACAGTGTCTACACTGCTCATTATGACAAGACATTCTTATTAGTGAGAGACAGGAAACTATTAAGATTGCCTTAAAATATATAGCATCCAGCAGTCCAAATAAAAAAGGCAATAACAGAAAATGGCCTTTTTGTATGAAACACGCTTCCCCTATTTAGGAAACCATTCTCAGACACAGGTCCATGATGGATTCTCTTAAGCAATGCTTTTTGTATACTCTATCATTTTTACTGTTTATTGCTAACGTTACTGAAATTGATTGTAAGATAGAGAAATAAAGAGAGGTTAAAAGAAATATATCCTTATTTCTCTTGTTTCCAAATGTTTCTATAACAAAAACCAAGAAGGAAATCAAATCACATTTTACATTCTTTAAACTAGTCCTACTAGGTTTTAAAAATAATGTTAACAAATGCAACTTTAATCTCAACAAAAAAGAGGTTGTAGCCTCCATAGCATTACACAGAAAAAGACGACTCTGGGATGAATCTCATGATTTGTCTTCTCAAAAGTATATCTTCAAGTTCAGTTCAAAGAAGAATATAGATGATATAGATAGATAGATAGATAGATAGATAGATAGATAGATAGATAGATAGATAGATAGATGATAGATAGATAGAGATAGATGATAGAGATATATAGCTCCTAGAACTAAAGCTAATCCCCTCCCCCCCTTCTCTATGACTTTCAAATTAGTATAAGCTGAACAAGTACATGCCTAAGTTTTAAAAAATTTAGATGTGGGGGCTGGAGAGATGGCTCAGTGGTTAAGAACACTGATTGTTCTTGCAGAAGACCCAGGTTTGAATCCAGCACCCACATGGCAGCTAACAAGTGTCCATAACTCCAGTCCCAGGGGATCCAACAGCCTCTTCTGACCTCCATGGCATTGCATGACACGGGTACACTTACCTACATGCAGGCAATACTTCCATACACATAAAATAAAAATAATGAATAAAGTTAAATTTTTTTTAAATTTAGATGTGCCTCAAAAAAAAGCAGACAGTAGCCAAAACACAGTTCATGTCTCTTCACCTCTCTTCATTTTGGTTTAGCTTTCATAGACATATGAAAGATTATACTTGGGCACTGAATCAGTTATATACTGCTACATAACAAAAGTTGGCAGCTTTTGTTACACAGCTCTGATAGTCAAGAATCCATCAAGAATACATGAGCAGATTAGTTGTCCTGGCTTAGGTTTACTCCTGAGGCTCAGTGGCAGTCTCTTGAAGACTTGACCATCACTACAATGATCTGACTGACTGAAGATAGCTCACCTGTCAATACTTGGCTGGGATCCTTGGTTCCTCTCTGACCTTTGGAAAAGGCCTCAGTTCTTCAGCATGATCTTTTCTGCACAGCTGCTTGAATGTCCTTTTTATATGGCAACTGCTTCTTCCAGAGTAGGTAATCCAGGAGATGGAGTAACCAAGGCAGGCTGTGTATTTTAAGTTTAGTGGGTTAAACAGAAGCAGCAATTGAAATGGCATTTATTTTTAAGCTTAATCCATTAAAAACTTTAAAGCCTGTTTTTCAAGTCATCTAATAAGGGCTTTTAAAGTGTTCGTGTGTGTGTGTGTGTGTTGGCTGCATGTATGTAAGTACATCTGTGACATCCTTACTTCCCTTTAAAGATTCTAGATATGATATGAATTTATCATTAAATAGCAATAAATAAGAAAAGAAGATACATTCTCATTGGAATTCTTATGAATTTATTTACCCTAAAGGATGACAACCCAATTAGAAGCAAAAAGTTCTTATAGAAGCAGCTCATGATTGACATTTTGGGTCACAATTTCTTTGTCTTGGGTTGTTTGTGTCAGTGATCAAAGTCAGAGCCTGTGCTTGCTAGGCAAGTGTTCTACCACTAAGCTACATTCTTAGCCTAGGTCATAATTACTAGTCTTATTAGTATAATTTATTAAGGTACAATGGCCAGGCGTGCTGGCACATGCCTTTAATCCCAGCACTTGGGAGGCAGACGGATCTCTGTGAGTTCAAGGCCAACCTGGTCTACATAGTGAGTTCCAGGACAGCTCTCAAGGCTACAGGGAGACCCTGTCTCAAAAAGACCGAAAAGTGCCACTACTGCACCAATGTCCTTTGCCCAAGATAACAAATAGATTAATTCAGTTTTCTTTTTATCTTATTCACATAGATATTTACTCAGGTCTTTTGCTGTCCAGGTCAATCCTTTAATATAAGAAGAATAAGCAATTTTACATGGACTGTATTTGAGTTCCAAGATGTTTTATGTCTTCAGAATTCAGCAAATTAAGGATAAGATGAAAGAACTGTCTTTCTTGTTCTGAACCTGTCAGAACGTTGGTTCCTGCCCAGTAGTAGCCCT